CTGCCCCAAATATTGTTATTACATTTAAATTTATGCAGCAAAGAGAAAACATTTAATTAGAACTCTAAGGAGGTGAGAGTGCTCTCCACTTGACATCCCAATTGCCACAAACACTTCCCTAAGCCTATCACAGCTCTTGTTGGACATTTGTAACACATATATTCTCAATGGGAATGCAGGACTCAAATCAGCCACTGAAAAAATTAGAACACATTTCATTATGCAAGAAAATTTATGCTTGTGGATTCTCCACATTCACTAGTCTTCTTGAAACTATTGAACTCTATAACTACTGTGTGATTGTTTGATCTTTTATGTGATGTGTTACCACTATCAAATACAAACAAATATTATTTTAAATGTAAATAGAAATACATTTATTTAGTTTCTGTGTAAGCAAAGTCCTTCCTCCTTCCTGGTGAAAATACATTGCTAGTATATACATACATTTAAAAAAATAATAATAATAATAATTTAAATTTTAGATATTTATAAATGTATTTAACCAGGTTCTATTTTACTGTGCTTGTAAACAGACAGTAAAATTAAACTTGGACTTAATAAAAATAAAAAATTACAATTACATATTGTGGCAGTAGTTTGCAATCAGTCTTCCAAGAGACCAGGTACAAGTCATTTTAATTAACACTCATTATGATTCCAGGGGAAATAATGTGAGTGTGTAAAACTGCAAAAAGGGTGACTCAAACAATTAACACTGCAAGCTCAAATCCACCTTAATGGAAAAACCAAGGTGTGACGTACAACATCCTGGTTTCTCTTGTTTGGTCTTTGCCTCCACCCCTGCAGACCCACCCAGCTAATCGGCCACATCTGACCTGCCCAATCCACAGGGAGAATAAAAGCCACCACCAGTCAAGTGACCAGTGGGTAATCAGTTCTTTATTTTTGTGTTATTTAATTGATCTGATTTTTCTACACTTTTTAGTAATTTTTTGTAATAAATAATATTTATTTTGGACACTTCGTCATGCTCCCACTTTTGTTCATGTTCTACGTCTGGTTTCTTTTTAAAATTTTCTCTAGTTACCGTGCCACATCCTAGACCTCGTGGCACACAAGAGGTTTCTCTTATACCCTCGATATAAAGCAGCTACCCCGTGTATAAAGCGGCTAACCCATGTATAAAGCAGCATACCTCATGCCAGGACAAAATTAATTTGTGTCGCCCTTGATTTGGCACACCGGTCACAAATTGCTTCAAATGCCTCAATGACCCACCACAGTGACGGCCATACATCACCAGTGACTGCTTAATTATAAGAAAGCCAAGTCCAGTGTGCAGTGCTGTATCTTCAAGCATATCTATCAGGATGGAGATAAGAATAGGAGGCTTTCACTTTGTGCCAGTATGAGCTCATATTCAATGACCCAGCCACATGCTATAAGTCTACTCAACTTCATTTTGAAAATGGGATTTTTTTTTCCTCCATGTGGAAGTCATTTATTACATTTCCTACTTTCCTAACTTGAACATAATGGCCGATTCGACAGGGTCTCATTTGCATTTGGTGTTGTGCTTTAGACCTCTAGATCTAGGGAAAAAGATGATTATGTTCCATAACATAGCACATGAAAGTCTGTGGACTGTCGGCTTTTATTGCAGCTCATTTCAATAAAATAGTACCTGTCCTCTGAGTGAACTCGAGCAGTCATTTGTTAAGAATTTTCTGCCATACTCACTGTAAAACTGATAGCTTTTGCCATCTGAACTCCATAATCAAATCCCCTTGCTGATGAGAAGGAAAAGCAATTATACTTCCCCTATAATTCTTATACAGTCCCCAAAGTCCTGCCTTGCATCACATTTTGGTTCTGGTGGCTGCTCCAGGTAGAGAAGTGGTTTGCACAGAGTGAGCAAAACTGCTTTTCTGTGTCTTATGCACAGAGATGTTTTAGTTTCACTACATTGTCTCCCAGGCACCATGCAGTGCAAACACTCCTGGAAGGAGAACATAAATATGGGTGACTTTTTATATTTTACTTGATTCCCCTATAAGAATATGCATATACAATCATTCTGGTATACACCCACAAAAATCTAAAACAATATCTACAAAGTTCCTTTAGGAAATATTTTACTAAATAAATAAAAATCAAACTAGAACAGATTTTATAGAAAATGTTGATACAACATTTTCAAAACAGTAAAAGGTAACACAGTGCTCTAAATATGTTAATACCCCATCAAAGTAAAATGCCCCCTCTTTAACAAGACAGCATAACACTTCACAAAGGAAGAAAAGGAGGCATTTCCTACTCTATAAAAAATAATAAAATCTGACAGATAGATAGATAAAATAAAAAAAATAAAAAAATAACCCTATAGTAAAGTTTTTCAATCTTTTCTAAGTCTCTTGGACACCTTAAAATCAAATCCTATTATTAAAACATAAACTGCAAAGCTATTCACAATAGCAATGTCTGTCAGAATAATCATAATTAGAAATATTTGTATTAATATTAATTGTTCAACTCTAGCATACATATTTTAGGAAAAACAGACCTTAAAACAGGCACATTTGAACAATGTGAAAAGTATACAGTGCATAGTCTTTAAAGGTCCTATATTATGTGAACTCTTGTGAGCTTTTAGCCATGTTAGAATGTTGTTACCTCCTCAAAAACATACCTGGAGTTGTGTTTTGGTTCATTCATGCATGTTTGAGTAACCATTTATTGTTAGTCCATCTACATCTCCAAAGCTCTTTTTACCTTTTGTTCAGTATAGACAGGCAATTCCAGGACTAAACCTATCCACAGGATTCTAGTGAAGGTGTATGGAGTTTAAAAACACAGTGGAGCACTTTCTGTATTACCATATGACATCACAAGGTCGAACAGGGTGTTTTTCTGTTTGAGAGAAGAACTCGGCCTTAATATGTATGGTTTATGTATAATATGCTGTTTATGAATGAAACAAAACACAATTCCAGTATGTTTGTGATGAGGAAAGAACATTATAAAATAGATTTTTAAAAAAAGCTGAGACAATGGTTAAGGCTAAAGGAATGCATGCAACAAAAGACCTTCCAAAAAAAATCCCTAAAGCATTTTCATTCTATCAAGTCAAAATATCAAAGGCTGTGTATCTGTCTGTGAGATTAGCCGTCTGACAAGTACACTGTATCCATTTAAAAGCCCTAGTCAATCATGGCCATATTCTGACAAACAGTGACACAAAGTGACAATCCCTGCGCAGCCTTCTACATTGTGGCACGTCATTTAATCTGTCTCATAGCACATCTATATCAGCATGCTAAATGTGGAGAAAAAGAGAGGGAGAGTGGGACCATTCGCTTGAGAGTTGAGAATCTGACAGCTCAATGTTAGAAGAAGAAAGTTCAGCCCGGGCCATGGTCTGACAACATCACATAATGATGTTCTGTCAAAGAGCCAAGAGACGCCTACAGGCTAAGAGGACAAAACTCCACAACTGCTCTGCTGCTATGCTCTTCATCTATACTCATATGCAACAAAGTACAGTAGTTCACATGGATGCTTTAAAGACAATTATACACCAACAAAAAGACTGCAAAAGGTAGGAAAAGTAGTAAATGTACAGCTTGTATAATAAAAAGTAATAATAGTCTGATGATACAAAACTGCTCTATGAATGTTGCTAATGGTGCCACAACATGAGATAAAACCAAGCTAGGTGAGCTTTGTAGAAAGCAGCCTGAGACATTGACTTATGAAACATGTTATCTTACAAATGTTAATGAAATAACTCCCCCACTGATCTTGTTTTTAATGTGTAGCTGCTCTCAGAATGTTATCAAGACAATGATAATAAAGACCACATAATAGTATTAATTAATATAAACATGCAGTCTTACAATAGCTCTGATATCCAGACCTGAAGTCCAGATTAGTTCCATTTCAGTATTGGTACTCATATGTGCAATAGTTGCAATACTAGTATTTGTATAGATTATTGGTGGGGCTCATGCAGCCATAGTGGAAACATTATAACATATCAAAATCCAAAAAAAAAAACAACTAGACAAAGAACAACAACAACAACAACAACAAAAAAACAAACATATTATAGAACACATTTCTAAGACTGTAAAACATATCTCTAACACAAGACCCTGAAGTCTATTCCCTTTGGCATATTTTTTACTTTTTGGCAATTAAAAGTAAAGTGGTTCCTTGATAGACCCTTTGTTTCTTCCTTGTATTAGTCTGCATATACCAGAGTTCTGTTTTGATCGCAAGGTTTAAGAGAAAATCTCTCTCAGCTCTGCACAATGAGACTGCTGTGTTTTAATAGAGCCAGTGGAGGACACGTGGAGGTGGAGAGGCTTAAATGAGGAACAAGGAGCTGCTCAGGAGAGGAAGCACAAATGTGGATGGCCAGTATACAAAGCCGAAGGTCCTGGCTAATAACAATTGTTCAAAGCAAAGGTGGTGCAGATGAGATTTTACAATAGTTACAAATGCAGTTTAAACTCTTTTTGTTTCTTCCTGTATAACCGTGTTTTTTTTGTGCATTTCAGATGCTTTTATTAATTCATTATTTGGAAGCCTTCTCACCATCTTCCTGTAAAAAAATGCAGTTTAAATTTGTTTTGGTCTTTCGACTGAGCCACAGAAATGTCAATATGTGATATCAACAAAACTGGAAAAAAAAGCTACTGAAATTGAATGCATTTGCAATAAGATGCAAACCATTCTGGAAAATATCTACCCATGCTGAGTAATTACAGAATAGGAAAAAAAAAAAAAAAAAACTGTTTCTGATGTATAATTAGTCACAATCTATTTGCAGACTAGTCCCCTTCGATGACTCATTCAAATGTAGTCAAATTGAATAAATATGATTAAAGAAGTGTCCTGGAAAAATTTTATACAATTTCAAGCACTCTTCAAAGACACACTTTGAAAAGTACTTATATTTGTTATAGCAGTCTTTTCTACACTGTGTTTTGGAAATAATGCTGTAAACAATGATTGTGCCTGCGGTGACTCACCATGACAGAGATGTGGAGGAGGTGCATGTGCTCGTGGAGGACATGGGCTGGCTCTCTGGCTGTGGGCTGGGTTGATTCAGGAGGGAGCTCTGACTCTGTCAAAGACACGTGGAAGTACAGAGTCCCATTCTCTAGCCACTGCTGTTTCCAGTGCACCTGAGAGATATCCTCCACTGTCCCAGACATTTCTACACAAAACAGAAAAGAGAGAAGAGGTTTCAGACACATGAAAAGCCTCTGTTTGGTTAGACCAGACATGATTTCTTTTATTCAGCTTAAATCAAAGATGTTTATGACAAGTGCACTGTTGTCAGGGGGGTAGGGGGTGTCAAGTCTAGTGGTCCATACATAGGCTGTGACGGCCAAATGAGAGACTCTAAAGCAGCAGAACTGCTGTCATGAAAGTGCTTCTGACTGTTCATAAGTTTTGCCTTCCAGAAGTTAGAACACATTTTGTGAATGCCAAAATTCTTCTAAAAAGGACTTGCGTACAAATTAGTTTGTAAGAACGTGTCTCAAACAAGGCCCAGTAATTCTACATAATTAACATGAAAAATCTTACAGATGCATCTGATCTTTTAGCCCCCATGGCATTTAAGACCATAACACCATTATCCGTAAATCCTCCACTAACCATCATGCAGATGGACTTGGAATAGTGCATTAGGTTTGTCCTTGGATGCCTTTTCTCTCAAGCTTAACTGGCAGACACTTCTCCTGCACACTCTAGCCTGCATTTTATTTTCACTATTATTTTAAAGATTATGTACATATTATCTATTCTTGTGCATTTGATCAGACAAATCACACCAATGTTTTTCACATGTCCAGAGCAGAGAAAACTGCTGCCTCACCACTCAGGCTTATCTAAGAACCACATCCTAGATTCAGTTAGCTCGGGGCCGCTGTGGCATTAAGCAGCCAACATCAAAGCCTGACTGAAAACATTTAAGAGGCAAGGCGAGAAAAGGCATGTGGCGCATTGGAAAAAGAATAAATTGTAATTTATGGAGCATTGGGAGAAGATAAAAAGAGTGAGGGGGAGAGACAGTTTATCTGGATGTGGATCATGGCACACGGATTGAATGTTATCAATTGGGAGTTACTGTTGGGTAGAGGAGTAGTGAGGAGCCTTAGGGAACCTGAGATGAGCGGGCATGATACGGTATTTGTCATGTGGCGAGGTGACAAGGGCATAGGCGTCTGCTGACACCTCCTATCAGCGGCAGGTAGCTGATGACAAATGGCTTTCTGTGCGACTGGTTATTAACCCACTGACGCTGGGTCAGAGGACACAGGCGGGGAGGGGCATGTGAGATACCCTCTACAGTGCTCAGAGCCACAGGGGCCAGGAGAGTCAGGGACTGACAAGAATAACTTTTAGGCTAATTATGAATTAACATAGGAGACATTCATTTACATTTAGGTCACTGAAGTCAAATTGAATATGTCAGTCCTGCCGTTTCAGTCATATATAAAGTTAACATTAGAACGGTAAATGTCTTGTGCTAGTTGTATTAAAGGATCTAATCTGTAAACCTTTATTTAACCCACAGACTAAAAAACATGTAAATATCACCACATTCTTGACAGACCATGAGGTTAAGGTACACTTTTTGGTCATCGTGGGGAAGTCTGTCCTCTGCATTTGACCCACCCTTAAATGCCATTAGGACCAGTGAGCACTACAGTTTCTGGGGAGAGCCCAAAACCTTCTTGCTGTAAGGTAAGGGTCCTAGCTACTCAGCCACATGATGCAAATCAGTTACAAAAGAGACAGATATAACATAGTCTACTCAAATATGTATACAATTTGTTTGTTTGTATACATAAACATTCAAACTATGAAGCCAAATACCAGCTGAAATATATTCTGGATTTGCTGTCAGCTGCCTCCCATAGACCATCTCCACAGGCCACCCCCAGCACTGGTCTCCAGCTCCATACCTTCTACATGTGAGCGTTCCGGCTCTTTCCACTGTGGAGGATCTGTGCATCTGTGGCTCTGTGCGGTCAGCAAAGTATGGACAGCAAAGGTTAGTCCAGGACATTCATCTTAATGGGACTAGGCGAAAAGGCCTGATATATATTGTGCACACAGTGTGCACATCATTATCACAAAATAGACACATTTTGTACCTTGAAGAGAGAATGATTAAATGCCGCACTATTATTGAAGCTGAATATTGTATGGTGATTTGGAATTATTCGTACAAATACAAAAGCAGCAGAGTCCTTCAGAATTTTCGAAACCACGTTCCCCATTCATTCCATTTGAATACAGATTTCAAAACAAGAAGGAGCCACAGTGGGGGGTTGTTCAGAGGTGTGTATAGTGCAAGTACAAGAAGGATGATTATGCTGGCTCACAAAGACACAAGGAATCAGGGAAAAAAAAAAAAAGCTTTAATTTTTTGTATGTGGATGAAAGTTGCAATTTGTGAAGTGAGCAGGAGAAAGTAACCTATTTGTGTAATTTCTCATTTGTTTAGGTTGCTTCCATTGCAAAAGAATATAGAATTGTGTAAACTGAATAAAAGATGGACTTAACTAATAACAGCTACTGCTTACAGTAAACAACTAGAGTGTGTTTTAGTATAGTTAGAACCTCCCTTCAGATAACTTTTAGAATTCAGATTTCTTTTACTTTAAGCTATAATAAAGACAGCAGACTTATATGTGGTATGTGTGCCCTTGTCGCCTGCATTGTGAGGTTTATCATTGGGAACAAAGAACATGAATAAACAGAAAATGTGTAGCCTAGAGGCAGCTTTTCAGTTGAATCAACATTGTTAACGCACATATAGGTGCTGTACTTTACTGTACTGTACTTCTAACTTCAAGGACAGCTGAGCAAAAGTCTTCAGCTCTCAAGCTTTTCACACATTTGCCGTTTATGTATAGTAAGTTGGTTTCCGTGGTTACGCCACTACTATTCACGCAATTTTATTGAGTCACCTTAGCATGTGCAAGCTGTGGTCCTTATGTCATTCCCAAGCTGGATAAATTGAGCATGTAGAAAGGGCAAAGTCAAAAGGGGGAGTGGGGCTTTCAGTGGTTTAATAGGCTACACAATGTCCACTCCCCGTCGATATGAAAAGGCCAAACTCAACTATTTTAAAAAGCATTTAGATATTTGCTGAGTATATATTTCCTAAAGCAACTGCCTGGAACAAATCAGAAACCATTGATTTAATCTTGAGAATAGACACGGAAGACTGTCTGCATCTTAAATGTGTCATCTGGTCTTATACTTATGAGGACGAGCTTAAACTATGAGTGAATCCATTGAGTGCTCAGTAATGTCAGCACAACTCCTATTACAATGGGGCCTGATCATAAAAGTGCCCATTCTGCTACAGTGTGTTTTCTTTGTCCTATTCTTCATTTCCAAAAGATTCTCATCTTTTTGTGTGTGCAGTCAAAGAGATTGAAGTGAAAGTGCTGAGCAGGCTTTAGAGTTTATAAAAACACATTGAAGTTTTGCCCTGAGCTACAGACTCGTGGGCTCCACAAATGTGCTCGCAAAATGATTGAAACTACGATGCCTGCAGAGAAAAATAAGGAAAATAAAAGGATTAAACTCTCATCCTTTTGAAATACTGTACTGTGACAATAATACTTTTACTCAAATCCAGTGTCAAAACATTCATGTTAAAGCAATAAGAAAATCTTTAGGTCTAGTGTTGTTAGTGACTACGACTAACAGTGTTACACAAACACTGTACAATTTTGGACAATATATTCCAGAGATATTCTAGCAGCAAGCACAAGCTTTTACGGACACAATAAAGCTCACAGACCATGTTATGAAAAGAAAGGGAGAGAGAAAATCTCCACACCAATCATTGCAAATTTGTGTGGAGTCAACAGCTACATCCCTTATTAAGAACAACCAGATACAATACACAATTTATCAGTTTCAGTTAAAGACCAAATATTGTTTTCAACATAATAAAAACAGGTTGTACAATTCCACAAGTTACACAAAAGCCTCATAAACATTGAGTTCTATAACATACAGTATCTAAACCAAAAGATTTAGGTATGTTTTCTTACAGATAAAAGGAAAATTCAGACCTAGTATTACGCTGCCCACATGATAGCCTTGGAGTTAAAAGGCCTTTTACTGTCCATGTAACTGTAGTGTATACAGCTCTTCTCTAAAGGTTTTGAGTTTAAAGGTGATCAGAGCACCATGCAGTCTGTCAGACTTGAAACAAACCATATCTCATGTCATCTACATTTACTGAGATGAAAGACAGACCCCAAAGGCTCTTTTCTGCCTGTTTACACACATGGCTTAATCCTTATTACTGTGCATTGCCACTACCATGCCTCTGAGTTATGACAACACATTAGGGTGACACATTTTAGAATGCAGCATATGTCAAAGTGTAATGAGGATGAGCTCATCTGGACACAGATGCTTTTGAACATCTCTACAAAACAATGGCAGAGATATTATCAAATACACCGTTGAAGTGTGTAAGCAAAACTCCAAAGGAAGATTATTATTCTTATTTCCATCCAACATGGTTCAAAGAAAAAGGCCTCATCTCTGTCATAAAGATGACTGTCATTCCCCACAATGGAACTGTCTCCTGTTTTCCGTTGGGTCCGCAGTGTTTTCACAGTTGGGAGAATAGGTCCTGTCAGCAGCCAAACAAACATGTTGAAAAGGATCCAGAGTTGATTAGATCCTAAATCATGCTGATGACACATGCTCCCATTTCCAAAATGGTAATAGCACCATTACAATTTTTAACGACATGATGAGGGCTATGGAAAATTTAGACAAGAGAGCATGGGATGGAAATAGATGCAAGGTTGGCCCGTCCTCCACAGCTGTGCCACTGAGCGCTGCCATAATAAGCCATCAACACTAATAAAAGTGGTGGCATTTAGAAAAGGCCAATAACAATGGACACAATTTAGAATTCACACTTTATTCACACAATACATTTAGCCTACCAAAATTGTAATTTTCAGTTCATTTAGCAATGATCTACCAACCCAACCAAACAATATATTGGTCCCTTAACAGAAAAAAGTACATACAATTATGGTTGTCTACCTAATAATAACAAAATTTGTGTTCTGCTTGACGACATATAGCCATGTAATTGTCATGGATTTTTGCCAAAATAAAATATAAATAAAATCTTAATCTAAAAGGAAGAATAAT